GAATTCAACATGAAATTTGGCTTATTTTTGAATTGATATTTTTGAACGGGATCCCTTTGTCTTTGATTCGGTTTATTCCAGGCCCATAGAACCTGAAGCTCATTCAGCATTCAAGTTTCCCAGCGGTCGATTGTGCACGTTTTTTCACGGCCTCTTCAACATCTACATACATTCCTGTTAGTTCAACAGCGCTTCTGACGGTATACTACGAGACGTAGCATGGTTACCAGACAGCGTGATCCACGTTGTGCCTATAGGGAAGAGAACTACTGAATCGTACCTTCGGTTCGCAGGCCATTATAAACTTTATGACAGGAACAAGCCTAATCGGAAGCTTCTGCTATTGGTCGGCTGCAGATGACAACCAATCATAGACCGGAAACTGGTAAGAAAGCACAGTTTCACTGAGCCTCCTCTGCAAGTTTTCGTTTTATGCCTCCTCTGCTGGCCAAGGCTGCACTTTAAAATGGGCTTGTGATTGATAACGCTGTTGAAGTTCTCCATTCTGATTTTCATGCTACAATTTTACATAGTTTTACTTCTTTCAATGTATTTTTTAGTGAAATTGATGATGCTTCTTCATAAACCTTTCTCTAAATTTACCCACAACTACTCAGGGATTGTAGGGGCCTGACCAATCTCGATTCGAACCGCCTGGGCCGGCTAAAGCTCTTCCTCCTTCAGTGTTATTTAGTTGGCACGAGATTCGCCTAGAAGCACCGGAAACTGGTACAACATCGGCTGGCTCCGCTAATCATTGCATAGGCCAAGTTGTAATCGAGCTTTAATGCGCCTCTGAATGGAGGTGAGGTGTGTGGCGCAACAAAAAAAAAGCTGATCAATTCCAAATTCTCCATCCTTAAGCATCTACTTTCAAAGAAACAAAAGCTATCCCTTGGCTGTGGGCTGTGCAAGCTATCACATGGTCGCCTTCTTGACTAGAGATAATTGGAGTGGTTTACTATATCAATCAATTCCGGCTAATTTTGAGACACAGGCTTTCCCTTAGTCTTTAAAAGCATCAACCTTAAATGTTTAACTGGAAATTGGACCAGAAAGGTTCGCCGTTCGTTACGTAACCGCAACGAGACAGCCGAAACCAGTTCAATTACGAAACACTCCACGACATCCAATTAATTGCATTGCGCAGTGTTCTTCAGACGACAGCGGGAAGCAAGGTGTTCTTCTTGAGAATGGACTACAATTCCCATCGCCGAGCTGGAAGTTCCTTTTCTACACTACTCTCAAACCGGAACATCAGCAACTTGCCTACGCTTTTTCCGGTAGTCAACAGAAGTGCAGTGGAAGTGCGCCATGTCATCGTTTTATATCCAAAACTGCATTTGCCACAAATCATTCTCCTCGTAGCTACGCTGGCGTACATAACTTTATGCCTGCCTTCGCAAACATAGGACAATTTCGTGGCTATGAGCCTTAAGAAAAGCAGTTACGGCGCTCATGTCGTTAGGTTGAAATTGCAGTAAGCCACATTCAGAACTTGGGACCAAGCTTTCGGAGGGGAATTGATTCTGGGAGATGACGTGAGCAATCTTCGCTCTCCCTGGCGTTTCTTCTATCTCTTGGGTTTAGTCTGTGTTACCCACCAGCCGTATTCATAACCCTTGTCTTGATTGTCCGCCCTAGAACATAGCGTCTTTATTAATTAACCTATTTATTGGGAAACGTAGACTGTCTGCATAAAATAGTCGAACGAATCTCAACTACACAAGACACAGTTGATAGTGTGAATCCGTAAAGCCCAACAAAAACCCTGATCAAACCTGGCTTCGGGGACTAAAATTCTTTTCGGGAATTTCTAAGCAAGTTCCCAGAGATTTTCACGCTAGAACAGTCTTTCATCAAAACTGAACACTTATGACCGGATTCTGTCATTCTCCAGAGACTCATCGGCACAGAACACATGCACGAGTGTACTCTTCAGGACCCTTTTGAACACCTGAGATCCACTGCGCCGGATGAATGGCTAAATCGGTCCCTACTACCATTTGCTGTCCCTATTACAAAAGTTCACGAACGCATAAGCGCACTTGGGAATGCCATCTAAGGATAGTACCGATGACAAGAAGAACTCAGTGCAGAAAGGAGCGGGACAGCACGATATGAATACATTCGCTTTTCCGAAACGCGGAAACTGCAAGGCAGCAAGCTTGCTACATAAGTTTAAACGCTTACGATAAACAGCGTCGCCTAACGGTCCTCTCAAGAACAGCCCTAGGTAATGTATTCCAGGGTTCTACAGGTGTTAAGGCGAGTTTCATGGAAGGCCAGTCGGGGTGTCTGGAACCTCTCAGGAAAAACGTACGAATTCTGACGGTTTTTTATATTCTTCAATGATGGACGACTACTGACGTACGTGTGTTGAGACGTTTTCGGGATGAACGGGGCAGTTTTCGATGGTGACGGTTGTGGTCGCTGCAAATAGAGGACACGTCCGCGTCGAGGTCGTGCCGCTGTCCACAAAAAAAACGAGAACGCGCCGACGAGCGCATTGTTTCAACCATAACTCGAACTCTAACGACGACCAGGAAGACTCTTCGATGAAAGTGACGCGCGCTACTCGCCTAATCGTCCGAGTCGCGTTCACGAGTCCGACTCCAAGTGCCCCAATTGCTGTTGTCCGATCGGGGTCGCCATCGCCATCACCTACGTAGTCCACCGCCGGCTCAGAAAACGATCACCCACACCCATGATTTCTCCAAACGCATTGCCTACCACTCACGTTGAGCGATCATGATATATTGATTAGAATCAGGAAAAAAACCACTGACTACACCACTCAAAGCACTTTCTCCCAATTTTTACCTAATGATTATATGCCATGTTTCAAAGGAAAGTAAACAGAATCTACAGGTAGAAATTTGGCATAGAATCGGAAGGTATAATAGCATGTGGACAGCGATGGCATGTCAAGGTTATAGGCCAACTTGTGTAATGCTGGCCCAATCGCTTCCTTAGTACAACTCGCCTAAGATTTGTCGCATCCTTTCCAAAATCATTCCCTCACAAAATGGAGATTTAATAAATAGAGTTGTATTACAGGCTACTAGGATGATTTCGCGCTCAATTCGTACATACCAGAACTGCTTTCAGAGTAATTATGCATGAAGCTAAAGCGGTTTGGAGCAGTTTTTGCGGCGACAAAAACAGTGCGAATTGCGGATGGGAACGAGGTCTGGTCAGCCCTGTTGTCGTTCAAGTTCTGTACTGTGTCAGCCTTATAATGTGACTATTTGTACAATGACAAATCGAATTCTGAAATTGAAAAGAAACTAGTACCTGGATAAGTGACAGTACACGTTCATGGATGATTTGCGGTGTGTCGAACTTTGAACCGATCAATTTCACCAGATCCTGGACGAAATCCTTGGAACAGACCAGCACATGGAAATTATGGCCGCAGTTTTTCACACAAGTTTCCAACACCGTCAATGTATACATCACAATCGCGTTATTCTTGCACATATTTGTGTGCAGACGTTTGCGAATTGCACGTACAGCATCCTTGGCACTAAAATGCAGAAAACATTAACCAGTTCGGTAAGGTAGCCGGCTGGTGGAGAACGGCTACTAACTACATTCTTCGTATTTTCGAAAACTCTTCCCATCGAAGCCACTTAGAAACGCTCTTTGTAATCAAGAATTGTCGCGGAAAAGACCTGTGGACGTTATAACCTTGAGAACTATCGGAGTAAACGACGGATACGCAATCGTCATTTATTAATCCGACAGCTACTACCTAATGTTGCGAAACGCCAGAACCGAAAATGGCGATCAATGGTCAGACGAAAGGTATAAAAAGATGAGAACCAAGTGATATTGTAGGGTATGCGCAAAAAACCCGCGTATGAAGTTTTGAGAGAGATAACTCGAAAAATTCCACTAATTGACGAAAGTGCCAGGAACCAGCCATTTACGAATAGGCAATTTCCAATCTACCACTGTTGAATAATTTCTGGTGGTCACTTACAGTAAGGAAAATGGAAACCCAATACGTGTCAAAGAAGACGACTACATAAGGTTACTGCCAACTACTACACTAAACCGTGTGGGAAGCAGTTAATATTTACCAGCACGAAAACTACGAGAAATTCAGGCCAGGCTTGAAGTGGTAAGAACAACGTATATTAATCTATAAAATAAATGAAACTGAAAGTGTAAACTGACCCGTCTTCAGTGCTATTGATAAAATCACATATTTCCATATTCAGGCCCCAATTCTCCGTTGCAAGTATAGAAGCATTTGTGGCGAGCTCTGGAAATATCAACTTCGGCTTCATTGAAAATTGTGAATGATCATTAAAATTAGAAAGGAATTGCAATAACTACCATTTCACACTTAAAATAGTATAATACTATATTTTACTTGTTAGACGCATCAGATGCAACCCAGCGACCAGAAATGCCTCTATTTGCTCCAAATAAGCATTGCCACTATTCAGCTTGATCTTTCAAGATTGAAGAAATCGGAACAGATTTCAGATGTCTTACTATCTGGTTGATTATTTCTGAGAGGTCACTTACGGTAAGGAAAGTGGAACCAATACCTGGCAAAGAGAGAATATGAGGTTTACTGCACTTACTAACTAAACGTGTGGGACGGTTAATATTTACCAGCACGAAAACTACGAGAAATTCAGGCCAGGCTTGAAGTGGTAAGAACACAACGTATAATCTATAAAATAAATGAATCTGAAAGTGTAAACTGACCCGTCTTCAGTGCTATTGATAAAATCACATATTTCCATATTCAGGCCCCAATTCTCCGTTGCAAGAATAGAAGCATTTGTGGCGAGCTCTGGAAATATCAACTTCAGCTTCATTGGAAGAATTGTGAATGATCCATTAAAATTAGAAAAGAATTGCAATAACTACCATTTCACACACTTAACAATATATAATACATATTTTACCTTTAGACGCCACTTCAACGCAACGCCAGCGCAGAATGCTCTATTTTGCTCCCACAACTAAGCATTGCAGCTATCAACTTGATCTTTCAAGATGATAGAAATCGAGAACAATTTCAGATTGAAATAAATCCTACAAAACCATCTCTGAATAAATAATATTAGCCCACTCAACAGCTTTATGGCTTTGGCCCAAAACATACTGCCGCCTAAGGGCATTTGCTTTCCCCTTGTGATTAGAAAAAAAACCTTTTGATTTTTACTGCGACTTTTCTTCACTTTTGCCTCACTTGCGATTATATTGCCCTATGAAAAGGCCATTCTTGAGGCTTTTTTCAAAAAAAACAAACAAAAATTTGAAAGATTCCTTTGAAGGGCAAGGGATTTCTTCTTGACCAAATCATAGCATACGTCTTCTCTTCGGGGTCAACCGTCCGCTCGCACTATTCAAACGAGAGGGTCGTATTTGCGATTTTGAAAGGGGGTCGTAAAAATTTTGGAAAAGTGCGAATGCGACGGTTGACCCTACTTCTCTTCTAAAGACTTGGGCTCAGTTATACCCGTCAATGCGGTATCCTAGTCTGCGCTCTCTCAGCTAAATAGCGCAACATCAAAAATATTAAACAGGTTCTTCGATCCTAAAATCACCATGCAAAGTGATATTTTTGCCTGCGTCCATAATCACCACCGCTTTGCAGAATAATAAATAGCGCTATTACGAAAACATATTTTTACAAGAATGTGAAATTAATCAGAAATCCATATTCATATTCATTATGCGTTAAAAGCACAACGACTGCCACATTATGGGACCCACCGATTTTTCGTCCGACTGGTGTCGAGAACGGATTTCCTTGGAAAAAATCTGACACCTGTTCGCCGACTTTGGCCGCTGCCTCCTTTGCCGATTCCACCGTTTTCGACACTTGCTCGCTCACGTTGCTCATCCTTCTCTTGAATGAAAAATGTTCGATGTTGACAAAACATATGAGAATCGTCATAAAATGGTAGGCGTCGAACACTAAGCTCAATCACGAGTAGTAACGATTTTTGTTCTGAGACCTTAACGCGATAACGGAAAGAGTGACCAGGAGCAATTACCCATCTTCCTGGCGAGAAATCATCTGTGCGCGGAAATAAAATGTATTGCGAAATCACACAAATTCCGCAGCCGCAGAAAACAAAGTTCCATCGATTACCAATACGGTGATGTTAAGAATTACTAAGCCAAAGTCTCTTTGAATGAAGCGGAAACCAGAACGAACACAAGCAGCGATGACGTTTGAGGGCACGAACCCAGTTGTGAGGTGGGGGAGCGGGGGCAGCCCCCAGTCATCGTCGCACATACTGAGGAGCACTCGCGATCGATACGCATCCCGCACCCGCTTTGGCCAAAGGCCATATAAGTCGGACATTGAACAAGAACTCAACGTCTCCAGGAGCCCACTTGGTTTAATTTGATGGCTGGTGTTCTGCCGTGAAGGTTTCAGGTCTCAAATAAAATCCTTAGAAGACGTCCAACACTCGGCTGCCGCTGTGTCCTTGTTGTACTATTTTCCCACGGCGCCACATTGTGTCAGATAGACATTACTGAACCAGTCATTGTTAAGCAGTACAGTAATGTCATACTTCTTCATTCCAGCAACATGAAGCCTAACGACACAAAAAACTACAGTACGGTCGCTACTAGAGAATAGCGATCGTTATCTCATTTTCAGGTGATCGATAATACTGTGCTGATTAGTTTGTGACTTCGCCGTAAAACTGTATTTCATACGCCGTCGAAAAAGTTCGGGAAATAACGCGCGATCCACACAATAACCACTTTCACAAACCCACGACCTAAGCAATCAATATGCGGTTGCGCCATGCACACGCAATTGGTAATTTGAAACACTCACGGAGAAGCTGTAAATTTGGCCATGCAGAACAATTCTATGCCTGCTAAGAGAGAGATTCAAAGTCCCCCAAGTGTTCATTCGGTATTATTTTCATATAATAGCGGACACGAGCCAACTTCCAAATCGATCTGTCAGTTCAACTTCAGCAGGTGGATTCACCTTCGATGTTTGAATACGGATTTTCAATTTAAATGCCCATCAAATAAAAACGTTGTGTGTGAGACGCCGTCAGGCAATCATGTAAAGTGCAAATCCGATTCAATAACAAATACTTTCTGTAAAGCGTACACTAACACTTTGCTCAAGTGCTACTGTAGACGGATAACCACTTCAATATACCTTGGTTACGTCATAAAGTCAACCTAATGGCTATCTTTGTCCGATTTCATATGAGCAATTCATATGAGCTCATGTGGCCTTGCAGCGTCCACTTGGAACAAGGATAAACGGACTCTAGTGGACTTCTTGGTCAGAGATCAGGTGGGCGGGACGGACTGCTAAAAGTAATCTGCCGACGACGTCCTTGCGAGATAGGTTAGATTAGATAGGTACCGAGTAACAGTTATCTCCAACGAGTACACTTGGCTCGACCACAACCTTACACCAATCGATACATCGTAAATCATTCAATCATCACTGATTGACGAGGGTATTTGATCGGTATCCGATGTCAGGATAAGCCGCTGACCCTCTTCTATACACTTCAAAAAGCGCTCGAAATAGAACAGAGCTTAACCTTACAAGGGTTTAAATTACAGGCCAAGCTTGCGGACAAGTTTGTTGAAATTGGACCGAATAGATGTCAGGTTAGGTTCACCAAGGAACTTCTGAGGCTTTATGGAAGTTTTAACTGTAACAGCGAGTTGCTCCCTTCTGAATTTTGGCTTGTTTAGTTCAGCAGTATGAAGAAATGCAAAGTTCGACGCCGTTTCAGCATTATGCCATTGCTATCAGTTGCATTGAAAGCGTGCGAAACTCCCTTTAAATAAAATCAATGAAAAATATACAGAACATTAGTGAGGGAAACAGTTCGGAAAGTAGCCTAGCACATCGCTAACCATCCGGCCCCGTTTCGAAGGATTTTTTTCTAGTGCCAAAGTGAAGGTCAAGGACAAAACTAGCCTAATCGATCGCTACGACGAGAGTTACATAAGTCAGCGCAAGTTGGCTAAGAGGTTCATAAGATTACTGGAAAAACTGGGGAGCTGTTCGATATAAGGCAAGACTGGAGCGTGAACGGGTGAGAAAGTAAATAGCCCCGACAAGATTGCTGCCGACTTTGTTTGTTTTGTCTTCGCCGATTCGAATTTGCAAATCTTATTCACAGCAACCGACGCCCGGTACCGGTTCAGTCTCACTTTAGCAGATTCTTAATACGTGCGTACTTAAATGAATCGTATCCACCGACATTCAACACGCATGCTAAGTCCACGTCGACCACGAGGAAAGTGTGGCCAACGGAGAGTTGACACGCGGCGCGGCCTTGCGAGCTGCGAGACCAATCAGGATCGAGGGCGTGGCGGCGGCGAGCCAATAAGATGGACGCACGGCCTGCTGCCTCCACGCCGCTTCGACCCGATAGTCATTCATTGGGGCGCGATGTTCAAACTCGCTTGCGTTTGCCTCCTTGCTCTGTCGGCATTTGCAGCAACCGTTGAGGAGGAGAAAAATGTGATCGTCCTCACCAAGGTAATCACTTCTACTCATCAAACTACTCACTATTCTCTTACATTCACTTACTGTTACAGCGTAGTGATTAATTATGCGAACGTCGGGGCGACGCTGGTACCTCCTGGTTTGACCCAGTACAGACCAACAGTGCTCAACTTTTTCGAACCTGTTACTCATCTTGAGCGCTCTAGCATAGTTGATTTTGCTTGATTCAATATTTGTTGGAGAGTTTCCCTTTCCGCCTTATCGATTGTCTAGGTAGTCGGCATTTTCGAGCGTGCAATATCAGAGCGCCTTGGTTTTTTTCTGACGTAGTCTCAGCCAGAATCTCCCAACGCGCCTGTAATTTACCCTTATCTATTTTGCGATTCTTTATTATAAGTAATGGATCTACTTTAGGATAACTTCGATGAGGTTATCAACGGTCATGAGTTTGTTCTTGCCGAGTTCTACGCTCCTTGGTGCGGTCACTGCAAGGTTGGTTCCGCTTCGTTGCTATCAAATTTCAAAGCGTTTCAGTTGATAGTGTCGTTTCATTTTTTTATGGTTTCTATATTTAGGCTCTAGCCCCCGAGTATGAGAAAGCCGCAACCCAACTCAAGGAGGAAGGATCCGAAATCAAGTTGGCGAAACTCGATGCCACCGTTCACGGTGATGTTGCCAGCAAGTTCGAGGTCCGAGGATATCCAACGCTGAAACTGTTCCGCAATGGAAAACCCTCTGAATACACCGGTGGACGTGACGCTGCGTCAATTGTCGCTTGGTTGAAGAAGAAGACTGGACCGGTTGCGAAGACCCTCAAGACGGCCGATGACGTTAAGTCCCTGCAAGAGGAGGCTGATGTCGTCGTTGTCGGATACTTCAAGGTTTGTTCCTTGTATGTCAACATCTAAGAGCATATCGAACGATCATTACGAGTACGTGTGTGAGATCATGTAGCCTTGAGAGTAGCCACGGCCTTTACAGTCTCCGCCGCTCCACTTTTTGGCACGTACGTGAAACGTTGCAGTCATGTTCATTAGGAAACACAAAATTGATAGGGAACTATGGTCAAACAGACTTATTTGTTCAGGCATTCAGTATTTTCTGTTATTGTGACTGAAGGGCAATTTTTTTCAGTAAGGGCGCTGCCAGAAATGGGGTGTGAAGCAATCTACCCCTTTCCCTATTTCCCAAGAATTAGATTTGAAATTTTCTAGGATCTATGGTGTGGTATATGGTTCCGTTCAACACTATGTTTTCTTTTTCAGAAAGCCGATGGCGATAAGGCGAAGGTCTTCCTCGAGGTCGCTGCTGGAATCGATGACATTCCATTCGGAATCTCCACTGAAGATGCCGCTAAGAAGCAGCTCGAGCTCAAAGAGGAAGGAATCGTCCTCCTCAAGAAGTTCGATGAAGGACGTGATGTGTTTGATGAGAAGCTCACTGCTGACAACCTCAAGACCTGGATCCAGGCCAACCGTCTCGCCCTTGTGTCCGAATTCACTCAGGAAACCGCATCCGTCATCTTCGGTGGAGAGATCAAGAGCCACAACCTATTGTTCGTCTCAAAGGAATCGAGCGAGTTTGAGAAGCTTGAGAAAGAGTTCAAGAACGCCGCCAAGCAATTCAAGGGCAAGGTTCTGTTCGTTTACATCAACACCGATGTCGAAGACAATGCCCGTATCATGGAGTTCTTCGGCCTCAAGAAGGACGATCTGCCAGCTGTCCGTCTGATCTCTCTCGAAGAGGATATGACCAAATTCAAGCCCGACTTCGCTGAAATCAACACCGAAAACATTGTCAAATTCACGCAGTCGTACCTCGACGGTGCCCTCAAGCCCCACCTCATGTCCGAGGAGATCCCCGAAGACTGGGACAAGGCACCAGTCAAGGTTCTCGTCGGAAAGAACTTCGAACAAGTTGCTCGCGACAACACCAAGAATGTGCTCGTCGAGTTCTACGCTCCATGGTGCGGCCACTGCAAGCAGCTTGCTCCTACCTGGGACAAGCTCGGAGAGAAGTACGCTGATCACGAGAACATCATTATTGCTAAGATGGACGCTACTGCCAACGAGGTAAGAGTGGCCATTTGTTTTGAAATTTTCTTTATTTAGAAAATGTAGTGCTATAAACGAAGCATCACTATTATAGGTTGAGGACGTGAAGGTGCAGTCATTCCCGACGATCAAGTTCTTCCCAGCTGGATCAAACAAGGTCATCGACTACACTGGTGACAGAACTCTTGAAGGATTCACGAAATTCCTCGAGAGTGGTGGCAAGGAAGGTGCTGGACCATCTGACGATGAGAAGGCTGCTGAAGAGGCCGAGGAAGAGGTTCACACTGAGCTCTAAACAAATCGCCGCTGTCATTCTGGGGTCGTGCACTGTGGCGACCTGTTGTTACAGTTAATTTATTTGGTCTAGGAATCACCCATATACGAGTGATTTAAACATTGCCTTCCTGTATATGCGTTTTTTCTCATTTCTTCTTTTTGATTGTGATCGTTGATGAGTGATGATGAGTTATAATAAGATATTTATTCTTCATCTCATTGCACCACCGTGTCTATGGACTGGGTTTTAATAAACATAAAAATGTTTTTGATTGTCAATCGAGAGACGCTTTGATTAGGTGGCAGTAGTGTTTATTGGCTGGAATGGCTCGGATGAAATTGGGCAGTGTAGGTGTGATTTTATTGATGGATGATGGATTACAGCCTAGACGTAATGTTTTGTGAAAGGGCGATCGTTTCCATGGAAAGTGCAAGTATTAGTGAGACTTGTTGGGAAAACTTCTATACAAACGTTTTCGAGGATGAGTGGGAAAGGACTTATTTGACCAGTATTGGGGAGTGGGTGCACCACAAACTAGACCACAGTGAGAGTTGATTTGTAGTTTCGGGCTCGTTGGCTCGACTGGGTGGGTAAATACCCTTCACGTGCACTTTACGGCTTCAATGAACTGTGGTCGTGGTTTTTTTGGTCTCGAAAACGACGTGAGGTACCGGTTCATGAGGGGAGTACCAGTCTTTAATCAGTCAAGTTTCTCAGCCTTCCCGTCGCAATCATGACTCTTTGTTAGAGCAAGTCCCACTTTTCAATGCTCGGGACAGGTGTATGATTAATGTGGAACAGCAATGTTCTATGTTCAAGGGGCAACTACCATTCAATTCATTTCTTATTTCTATTGCGAAGTTTCGAAGTGGTGAGCGGGTATGGCGTCTTCTATTCACGATTCAAGCACGGCTCCTGAAGGTGATAACGGAATCATCCATCCGTGTGGACGAAGCAGATTTGGTGGCCTTATTTTGAAATTAAGGATGGAAGGGGTCGTGTAGGCCCTCCCCTTCCCCCTACCCCTACCCTCTGTAGCTAGCGCTTTTTGGGATTGAGTTGAATGCATTTAGTTAAAACCAAATTCACGCCAACGTCGACCATTGGAGGAGGGGGAGGGGAGAGGGTTGAGGGAATTGTGGTTCCTGACTGATTTCGGCGACTGTTCACGGTTGACTCTGAATGAAATCAGACTTGTAAAAATATTTTACCTGTGAAACTATGAGCAGTTGAAGGTTAATAGATGTAATGCAGAAACTCTGCTTTTCACTTCTGCGCCATGCGATCGTATTTCCTTCTGAGCCTTGGAAACTTTTGAATGCATGCAATGTGAGGACAACATTAAGAGCCGGTCAGACAACATCTTCAACTTTAGAAAGGGTCACTGTTAGTCACTGGATGCCTTTCGCTCCATACTGCCCACATTTGTGGTTCAATGAAACAATCGTTGAAGAAAGCGGTCCTGTCCAATCTTCGAACATCGCGTTGCTGAACTACAGTTACTCCGTTCCTTCTGTTAAATGGAACCGAACATCGCCCTGCTGAACTACAGTTACTCCGTTAATTTGTAAAGGGGAACAGGCGATTCTTGAAAGCCGAAAGATGGGAATGTCCTTTGTGAGGCAACGAACCTCAACCCCTTGAAAATGGCACCTCTAGCAACTTCGCTTCACATGCTCATCTTTGCGACAAACGGATCGCTTAGCCAATAAGTTTAGACACCCTGTATTGTAGCTGACAATGAGCAGAGCGATTCTTAGAAATTTATCGACTGCAGGGTTTTTTCTCGAATGTGGCTTGAAAGTGGAAACACAGAACCGATCAAAGAATCATTGACAGTTTGTTCCCTGATAAACGGCTGCTTGTGTGGCAGAGCTTCGTTTATCAGCTTTGATTGCTAAACAGTAGAAAAACTACTGAGTTGGGGCTTCTGAAACTTCAATGAAAAATACACTCCAGGAGGTGGAGGGAGGCTCAGACCATGCGAGACCTGACAGTGGAAAAACAAGCAGGAGAAATTCTTGATCACCGTGAATAGACTCTCTTGCTGTGTTGATTGAGGCTGTGCACGGCACAAATGAGAGCGTGTGTCTGGGCTAGAGGCTTTAAGACGAAGGAACAAGAAAACACAGAGATGAGAGAAACACAGGCGAGGGACCATGAAGTGTATAGTGGCTTCCAATGTTTTGGACCTGAGGCGTCACAGGACACGTTCTGCCAGGGTGATGGTTACATATCGACTTCTTCAGTAAGGAAGCTCTTCTCTTCTTGCATGTCACATTCTACGAGATTGTTTAGGTACAGGCTTTTAAACAACTGCCTAAACTATGAAGCACCTCATTACGGAATTAAAATGGAGTGTTGGGCTATTCATTACAGTTCTGTTCAGCCGGATCCTTATTTATAAATTTCTCCGTTTCTATTGCGGAAAGTGGGCTGGAACCATGGTGCAAACGGAAAGCGCATGCTATTGGCCACCGCAGATGTGTAACCAATCGTAGTCAGCTTTGTACGCTTGGGCGCTTCCAGCCAATTATCGCTCTCCGGCTGCGAGCGGAACAACTCCACTGGTGAGCTCAGTAGAGGTGTTCCTAGGATTTTTGGAGGCTGGTTACTACCTGATCGCATCACATCTTCAAACATGACGCCGATGCAAATAAGTTGTTTTTATTAGAAAAAATGCAGTGTTTTCGTTTCGAATACCATTAAATTCGCATTGGAAGTCACTATTTTGTGCTGCAGATCAAGGGTGCTGCTCTAAAATCTCCTTCTTCCCAGCGTTAGTCCCGCGCAGTCGTAGGGTCCGCTGGGCACTGCTCTAACATAGGCCTATTAAAGCAACAGTCTCAGCAGGGTTTTACCTTCAACACTAATGGTGTGGAACGATGCGCTAGCCCTAGTCAAGAACATAAGAAGTGTGACTGAACAAAAAACTCACCTTGGAAAGCCGCTAGAAAGGGAGCTGAACGGCTTCGAAGTGGGCGTGGTTGCTCAGTCGGCTGCAATCCCCTCGGCCGACTTCCAACCACGCCCACTTCGAAGCCGTTCAGCTCCCTTTCTAGCGGCTTTCCAAGGTGAGTTTTTTGTTCAGTCACACTTCTTATGTTCTTGACTAGGGCTAGCGCATCGTTCCACACCATTAGTGTCGAAGGTAAAAACCCTGCTGGGACTGTTGCTTTAAGGTGATTTGCTGCCTCGCGCTGTCAGGGTTGTATTAGTGGCTTTGATGTCTGTTGTTATGTCGAGTGCAAAATTAGCAAGCAAACGATTCAAAAAGGGCACTCCATCGGCTGAAAGTGAATGAGGATCAACGTGGAGTCCTTTAACAACGCTAGCGTGAGCTGCCTCCAGAAGTTTGATATTTCAAAAGGTGCAGGATCCTGATGCAAAAAGCTGGATAAAGACGGTATTTGTGAAGCAAAAGTGATGGTTGTGGCCCTCGAGGCATCTTTGCAGAGTGCGGCCTAAAATTTAAAGGCAAGAATCAGGATTAAATTGATGGGGTGATTCCACTCAAATGTGAAGTAGGGGTGGGAGGTGGACCGCCAGTGGAGAAAAAAGGAAGAAAATCCTGAAATACACAGGAAATACGAGCATTTTGCTCCATGCTGTGGAGAAGTTCAAAAGACAGGCAGGGAGATGAGAGATAATGTGAGCGCGGAGAGTGGTAGAGAAGTCCGAGAAGAGAGAGCATAGCAGATCAACGTGGCGACGCAGACAAGATATCGAACGGTGGGCGGACCATGTTAAGTTTGGTGGAGTCTGTTAGAAGTCCATGGCGCCTAGGGTCCTAGTGACGCGTTTCGATGTAGAAAGGTGGCGCTACCTTTGCACTTGCGTACCCAGCACTTCTAGCCATGGTAAGGGCTTCTTAGGTGGGTCTGAGCCCGAACTTTGCCTTTAACCTAATTCTACTCCAAACGAGCACCGGCTTTGTTCTAGGAGTGTTCCACAAACTCACGCCGTGGCTGCCTAGCGATGGAAGGAAATCTAGACTTTTCCATGTTTGTTATGTTACAAGTTTTTTTATGAACTTCACCGGACTCAATTCAGAATAAGTTCGAAGAGGTCACAGCGGCTATGGTACATGGAAAATCAATTTCACTTCAAATCCTCGTTTTAAAGGCAATGAAGACCATGGTTCGTAGGCGAGCCAACGTGAAGACGTCAATGGTGGAAGGGTGTCTGGAGGCGTCGACTTTTCTCTCCCCCCTTCCCCAGAGCGTTGAGGTAGGAGCGCCTCAACCAGAGTCAACCATCCTTTGCACTGATTCGCAATTTTTCACAACTCCCTCACCACCATCATCAGCTCTAGAGGGGTCTGACCAGAACTGCAGTCTAGCGGAGAGTGAGAAAGTTTTTCACGAAAATCTCCATAAAACCCATCAAATAAGATCCTCTTCCACCGTCATAACTAGTGAAAACCAGAAATACGACTATTCAACCAAATTCTCAAATACCACCGTCCTCGTTGGACTTCGGTAAAATGGATGGCTGACTTCGGCCTTGACCTCTCAATGACCTCTCTACATTGGCTTCGCTTCCTGGCATTGATATTCACCGAATTCAAGAAGCTAAGTGCTACATCATTTTGGAACCAGTGGCGAAAGCAGATTCGACCGGGCAAAATTCGAAAAACATTATTTATGTGACCAATTGAGCAGCGAGCACGGACATCGGCGTACTGACATTTTCCAGAACTTCATCGAATAGCCGCACCAAGAGCTCAGCTCATAGACTACTTCAAGTCACTGATAGACCCAGTTTTATAAGGCTGGTGTCAAAGCCCGCGATAGTGCGCGAATCGCGCGAAACTTGCGAAACTTGCGATTGATCGCGGATTCTGACACCAGCCTAACAGTTGACGCACTTGACCACTTTTTGAGTAAGCCGTGAATCGTGAGACTAAATTCATTGGTCCCATTTCAGTTATGTATTCGAAGCATGTGCATAAATGATGCATGAACTATGGCTGGTTAGCACCGCAGAAACCAAAAAGGCTGCAGTCTCTGTCTGCT